TGCAAAATGACGCGGAATCACGGGGAATCTGGCAAATACGTTTGGCGTATTTGCGCCAAAAGTCCCCTTTCGCGGAAGGTTAGATCTTGGCGACAAGGGCTATCTGATCGAGCGTAGTGATGGATAGTTTCTCTGATCTTCCCATTTTTCGACATTTACCTCTGGATCTTTCTCACAAGTTTCTCTCAAGGGTCATGTTCATTTGAGCTTTGTCCGACAAGGTTCTCCTCTTGCAAGAAAAACTCACACTTGATTTTATCGTAACTTTGGGATTCGCGCGCTTTTCTGTTAATTGCAAAAATTTTTCGATCAGAACAGGAACCTAAACCGTTGTTATTAAACAGGTCAAAGGATTAATTTTTCAAAAGATTGTTTCATTTCATTAAAATGGCAGCTTCTGACGCCAGATCTGAAACAACCCGACTCGTTCCAACCATCGCTTTCAGTGTTTTGATGCCAATGCAGCCTCAAGCTATAGTTTCAGAAAATCGGTTGGTCAATTTTAAATCAAGATATTCAAGTTCTCTAGGGAAAACCTCGAATCTTCACCAAAAATCATTTTCCCAACGGCGATTGGCTTTTGTTTCATTGGTCTTTTGATTGGATTCGCAGTCACATTCATGTCCACGTTCGACTATGTCACCGCGGCAACGAAATGTCAACTCGGATGGGTTTACTCCAGGGAAACCGATTTTTGTTACTTTTATCACGTAAGTAAAATATAGTGAAATCTCGTTTGTAAATGGAACAATTAAATGGAAGCAGATAATTTCACGTTTTAACGCTTTTTTGACCCGTCAGTGACAGTTTCAGTGACCATGACAGTTTCACAGGGTTTATTCGAGCCATTGAACATTCACCAACAGTTTATCGTTTGCACATGGGATCTAATATAAATAATATGTATTTTCTTTTCCAGAATTCCACTTATAATGATGCCGGTGTCTTGAATACGTATCTTTGGAAAACGGCTGAGAAAGAATGTATCCGCAGCAACGCCCATTTGGTCTCCATTCACTCGAATGCTGAATCTAGATTTGTGAAAGGCTAGTTTCACGGTTTGAAATAAGTGAAGACCCATCGGCTTAATTTAAAGTTAAAACTAAAAGATTCGTGCAGAGTTCAAGATTTTAATTTGAAAGAGGAAGCGATGCGCATTAAGTCTCGATTCACTCGGAGGCGGGGATGCTCTTTTTGTAAAAAGTCTGCCCCATAAGTGTATATATAGCATATAAGTATATAATAAGAAACAATAAACGAATACCCAGCAGGCATGGGTGTGGCTTTATTGCTGAGAGCTAAAAGATTGCTGATGAGTTTTATCAAAATTTAAACTTAAGGAACATTTCACTCGTTGCAATGCTATTTCAATCCGATAAAAACCGTGCTAGACTAAATCAACCAAAATTCAAACCGATATAAGTTGTTCAATTCTCAAGACTATTAACGTGCAATTCCTAGGGCTCATACTGTCTTCGCTATCAAATCCATATGCCACCCTGAAAGACGCATGCGCCTATACAAGCAACTATGTGTGGAGTGGTCTCTACGTGGAGAATGGGATCGGACGGTGGACTGATGAAACGCCAGATGACTTTTTCAATTATTCTATCAGGGAGAATGTATTATATTCGGTGAGAGCTTGTTGTTTGACATGCAGTAGCGATACGGCTAGCGACCTCGAAAGTTACCCGGCTCACCCGGGTGACCTTTTCGGGCAAAACTTCTGATAGGCTCCACATTTTTGAATGTGGTTTACTGCTTTAGATTTCCACACCCACGTGCATCCGTTTCTATTGGGTTGGGGACTATGACTCAGCGGCTAGTTTCCCAACACTCTCTTAAATTGTAAACAACAATCGGCTGCCTGCCATTGCCATGCCACAATCAAAAATCAAGCTTATATCCAAATTTTCAGAATGATTCCAAAACTGGTTTTCAAGAAATGCAAAATTTGCGAATTTACACAAAACTTGCATTTTAAGCGAAACTACTAAGTGTATCTTTTTGGAAATTGGGCTATAAGCCTAATTTTTGATTCTCTACAACTTTTCTATTGACACCAAAATGGGTTTCTTTTGAAGAAAGTGCTCTGACTGGAACATCTCCAGTCCTCCATTTTTGAGTCTCACACTTGTCTCACACACAAACCAAAATCCTACTACGAAAGAGGAATCCGCAAATTGCCTGTAAAATGGGCCCAAATCGTGCAAAATAATGGAGAATACCTTGAATGATTTGCTTGTGAAATGTTCAATAAATTTGCTTTTCTTTTGTCCGCCGAGTCATAGTCCCCAACCCAATATATGATTTGTGGGCTTAGGGGCATAAGTGGCTTCAAAACTTCCAAAATTACAAATTTCTTGCGCTTTTTTTAAACTTTTTTATTTAGATGTGCCACGGCTCGCTCAATAGGCAAGCCAGCTTGATGTACTACTCGGTAAATCTTTCATCAGTTCAAGCTCGCTTCGTATGCAAGAAAGCGGCAGCGACGTAGATGAAATGTTATGCAATAGAAAAAAAAGAAAAGTTTCATTTGCAAGTGTTCTTTTAACTTTTTCCAATGACCTCAATCTATTATTCGCTTATATTTCGCTAAACGAATAAAGGGTGAGAGCCAGGCCTGAGCGCATTTCATGAAAAAAGAAAAGTTCTCCCGACTTCAGCCATCGAATGAAGGCGAGACACACCCCTTAAGGATTTTTGGGCCTACGACCTCACGGTGGCCAGCCGGATTGACGTCGCTTCACTTTCCCAACCGAAGTTGGTACCCATTTTCCGTCGCACGGAGCGTAGGCCCTTTTGGCACAGGTTCCTATGGTAGTGGCGTTCGGGCATGGCAACTTGTAGAGTGCATGGTACGGCGTTCATGTTACTGTGTACATGTTTTGTAAAGTACATGAGTACATGACGAGAAAGTACATGGAGCCATATGGCACTTTTTGGAAAGTTCATGCTACTTGCTCTGTGGATTTTCATTTTTTATATTTTATTTTGCTAATCTTGTTATTGCTCTCACGTGAAGAAATAGAGTGCCCAAAGTTGCTATACAAGGTTTTCCTTGAGAAGTTCGCTACAAAGTTTGTTCGAAACCCCTTTAGAAGTTTTTGATAAAAAGTGTGGAGCCACATAGCATGCACCATTTACTTGGGCAAGTACCATTTACTTTCTCGGGGCTACCGCGTTTGCCCATGTAATTTCTTGTCAGATATACGTGTACTTTGCAAATCCCTAAAACATGTATATGCACCATGTACCATGAACTATATTTACCATGCAATTTACAAGTTGCCTCTGGGCATAGCCATGAATACAACTGATAGCCTGGCTAGGGCGTTCGGAGTCGAATCCCCGACCCTCGGAGTGAGAGTCAAGAGTCCTAACGACTACACCATGTAGTGGGCCACTACAAAATGAATGACATTGCGGAAAATAAGAATAATTACATATTTGCTAATTTTCCGTCGCTGGTAGTTCAGTGGTAGAATATAAACTCGAAACTGATTTATCTACACAAAGGGATCTTATAGAGAAAGTAGAAGAGATTTAAACACATAAAGCACAAAATAAGCTAGAGATTATAAATCTAAAGAAATAGCAGAAACCCACTCCATAGATTTCTGCACATTCCCAAACAACAAGAAAATAGAGTGGCAGTACTAGAAGAGAAAAAAACGCTAAAAACCAAAAAAACTTCACTTAAACCACTTAAATCGATTGCGTCGATAAGTTGGAGAAAAACACTGAAAATGAAAGAAAAAACCATAAAAATGGTGAAAATTAATTTTTGAGTGGATTACGGTATTAGTGCATTTTAGTACACCAACCCAAATTGCTGTTTCGGAAAAAGCACGAAAGTTTTAGGTGAGCCACGACAAATCGTGCAAAGAGAGTCTATGGGATTATGAGCATGACAGCAGCGAGCTGGCTTGTTTCCTATGTAAAGCACTATCGGGAGGCGGAAAAGGAAGGAAAGAAAAGTATTTCATTCTATTGTTTGACTAGAAGGGAGTAAAAAGTTTAAGTTCGTTTCGATTTCCAGAAAATTAGAAATTAGCGTTCGAATGCGTTGATATTAGATATACTTGTTTGCAAAAAAGACTAAAATAAATCAAATATATTTTATTGAGGGAACAGGATATTGAGGTCGACAAGGATTTTATACACATGTTTTAACGCACGTAATGCATTCGTTTTCCTGAGCCCGTATGATACGTTCCGGAAATTTTCAGCGGAAATTCGACAAGAGGCATGGAGAATGGGCGGTTTTTGTGATTCGATGATCCAAATTATGAAATCAAAACTATTTGTAGGAGATTTTCTGCTCTTCACGCTGGTGCCAAATTTATTTATTTATTTTTGGATACACCACAATTGAGAAAACATAATTCCCACTGCTTTCCCTTTGAGCGCCTGCGGGGATACCGCGGGAAAAGAGCGGGAATCGTGGTTTCCCAATTGCCTTACATCTAATCAAAATAAATTTAATACCGGCGTAAAGAACAGAAAATTTCCTACAAAATCGTTTTTTCTCCATAAATTTTGGATCATTCAATCACAAGAAAACCGTTCATTCTCGTTGCCTCCTGCCGAATTCTCGCTGAAAATTTCCGGAAACGTATCATACGGACTCTGGATATTGTTTTTATCATTTCGATTTCCAAACGTAGCACTGAATCCCTTCATAGCAGTACGCGCCGTCCCGTTGCACGGAGTTCTTCTCGTTCTCGTCGTTCGTGTAGAAATGATCTGCAAATCATAAAGTTTAGTACTATGAAAACAAATATTGGAATGTAAGATATTGCTGAATAAACAGAAAAAGTCACCTTTATTTTCGGGATTCCAGAAACGATGAAGCGGCACCAGCCCACAGCCTGGCTCTCCCGAGCAATAGCCGATCTTTCCTTCGAACGTGTACTTCCCTTGAGCGCTCCTCATCTCGACGTCATTTGTCGTGTAGAAATGATCTTCTGAAAGAGTCATTTGTTGAGCATGGGTCACTTTGGTCTTTGAGCACTCGCTGAGTTTGACCACATTCGATAAAGTGGAACCATCCCAGGGCAGTGCGCTGGCGCCAACGTTCCAATGAAGCCCGTTTGACCTGGAAGTCGGGGTCTTCTTAAGAATTTCATCAATATTCCCCAAAACGCGGTTCTGGGACCTTAACCTGAGTCACAGGGCACAAGTAGAATAGTCTGATGAGAATCACAAGCACCTGAGTTCACCTTAACCTTACCGTCGGGTTTGGGAGAGTTGGGAGAGTTGTTTTTTACACAAACTATGCGATGTGTATACCTTCAATATCGAATCCATCTCTTGCCGCGTTTTGCTGCTCGGCCGGGTCGACCGTGTAGAAGTGGTCACGTATTTTTTTATTGTACGAGCGATAGAGGGGTGTTAGCCCAACTAGACGATGTTGTTTACAGGGAGCTTTTTTAAAGTTTTGTACCTGAGCTTCCGCACGAGGCGTGCACTGGCAGGTTTGGATCCGGGCAGTCTAAACGGAGCTTGTCATTATGTTTTAGTCTCTTCAATTTTTGTCGGGAAAACTATCTGAAGGATCATGCTAGCCATTTCGTTTTCCCAGGACATAGCCAAACGATCAAAAGGCCATGACTTTTGAACCAAGGCCAGGCCATGCTTTAGATTTTAGGTTCTCCCTCAAAAACAAACGAATTCTTGCATTAAGAAGCAAATTTTATTGTAAATTTTTGCTTTGGCCTGGCACTGAACTGACCTGGCTTGTACTGGCTTGGAAAACATGCGCTCGACTTACTATTACTAGTTATCCCTGTTTTCCACTACTTACTATGCAAACTCGGTGGTGGCGGAGGTGGCTGAGGGCAGCGAGACTTCGAGGACTTCGAGGACTTGCGCTTTCCTCCCCATCCTCCACTTATGCTAATGGAGGGTTTAAGTTCCCATTTGGCCGAAGCCAGTTCTAGAAGAGCAATGAGCAGAAGAAGAAACAGAAGATCCCGCATTCTAAAAGAATTTTTTAAATACACTGTGGTGCAAAAGTCCTGACCGGTCGCACTGTCCTATCAAGTCTGAACCATTTCGCCAGAAAAAGAACGTTAAAATTTTATGGTAAAAACGTTTTTGGATAGCTTAAACCTTCTACTTTTATAATCCAAAGAATGAAAGCAATAACATTTTATTTAACAAAAAATTTTGACAATATTCCGAAACGACTCAAAAAAACATGGTGCAAAAGTCTTGACCGGTACAAGAAAACACAAGAAAATTCAATACTTCGTAGGTCCTCCTTTTGCGACAATGACTGCCTTGATGCGTCTAGGCATCGAGTCGACCAAATCACGTAGAATTCCCAAGAAAGTTGTCTCCAAACATTTCTGATAAAGAAATAAGCATCGACCTTTGAGTTGAACCGGCGTCCCTTGAGTTTGGCTTTTAAATGGGCCCAAAGATGCTCTATAACGTTCAGATCCGGCGAATAGGGAGGTGCTTTGATCAATTCCACACGATGAGCAGCAAAAAAGCCGGGCAGGCGAACTTTACCTCCATTTGCAAGCCGGACAACTCGACCCATCAGTAATTGGCTTTTGTGGCAAGGGGCGTTGTCTTGATATAAGGCCCATCCTTGTGGCATGTTCGTGTTTGCAAATGGAAGTAAGTTGTTCTCTATGATTGACTTGTACCTTTGAGCGTCGAGATTTCCATCGATAAACACTAGCGGTCCCGATACACTTCGATTCATCGAGCCTAAAAAAGACAAATCGTAAGTAAAAAATAGGGCGAACACTTACCCCACAACATAATACTCCCACCACCGAATTTGACCGTTGGCTTAACGTATTTGAGCTTATAACGTTGTCCAATTGGTCTTCTGATTAAATGGTTACCGTCCGGGTAGTATAAATTAATTCTAGTCTCATCGGTAAAAATGACTCGGGCCCAGTCATCGGAAGTCCAACACTCGTAGTTCTTTGCAAAATCATATCTCAGCTTCCGAGTTTTTGCAATGGTCAAGGGTCGTTTTGCTGGTCTTCTTGCATGCAATCCTGCTCGAATCAAGCGACGGTTGATGCTCCATCGGGAAATATCCTTGCCAGAAACAGCTTTCAACTTCTTGATCCCATAGCTCGACGTTAGATTAGGGTTTATTCGGTGCTCCCTGATGATCGAACGATCCTCATTTGGTGTTGTAATTGGTGATCGACCTCTTTTTGGGGCTCTATGAACGTTTCCTTTTGATTTGAATTGCGCCACGAGACGTCTCACTGTTTTTTCAGAACACTTGAACGTTTCCATCACATTCTTCACGCGAACGCCTTTTGTTCGATTCTCGACAATTTTCTCTTTGTCAGGCGTTGATAGATATCGTCCTGGCATCTAAAAAAAATAGAATTAGAACCAAAAAGTTTATGCAGAAAGACAAGAAATACCAAAAAAAAATCAAGAAATAAAAAACCGGTCAAGACTTTTGCACCATGTTTTTTTGAGTCGTTTCGGAATATTGTCAAAATTTTTTGTTAAATAAAATGTTATTGCTTTCATTCTTTGGATTATAAAAGTAGAAGGTTTAAGCTATCCAAAAACGTTTTTACCATAAAATTTTAACGTTCTTTTTCTGGCGAAATGGTTCAGACTTGATAGGACAGTGCGACCGGTCAGGACTTTTGCACCACAGTGTATTAAAAAATAAGAAGAGTGTTGAGAAATAAATTGTTCGCCTGTGCTCGCCTTTTATGGTTGAATAAATACGACGAAGAGGAGGAAAAGGTACACAGAGGGATTATCAATCGAATGTCCAGGGAAGAAAGCCCACCACTCATTGCACGACTGTGAAAGCACGATTCGGCTTTTTCCAGCTATTTTTGACAGGAGCCACTTGGTGATTAGAAACTTCAAAATTTTATTCTGAGGCATTTGTATTTGTTTAAAAAATTTGGGATCACTTGGTGGGATAATTCTATATATTTTTAAGTTCTGAATGCAGCATTAGATTGATTTAAGATGTTATCTTATTCTTGTCTGTCCAATCTAGAGCCGAACTTGGCATCCAAGGCAATTGATTTTTTTACTTTGTTTATCCAAGGCAATTTAAATAAAAAATGTAATTCATGTTCGAACCAACTTTCTCATTTTATTTTTCTCGACCTCGTTCTGCTTTCAAAAACCGTTCAACTCACCCGATAGCTTAAACTTTTGGCGAAAAGTATGCTGTTAGATAGAAAAATGACAGTCGAATGGTCTTTTTCATAGTTCTAAATTTTTAAAATTGTCTTTGAATACAAAAAAAGTTCATTTCATCTACAAAGTAATAAAAGAAAAGCAACAAGAAACAGATTTTCATTTTCCTTTAACAAAAATACAAAAAAAAAAGCTCTCGAGTTTTTTTATTGTCGACAGCAATTGTGGGGCAGTCCACACCAGTAGGGACATTTTCCCGAGTTGCAATTATTGATGCAACCGGTCGGGCAACAGGCGTCCAAACGACTTCCATGGAGCCACGCTGAGGCATTCGCACTTTCAGCTGGAAATCTTTGTATAATATTAGAAGACAACAACGGATAATGAATACAACTCTCAGCTTAGGCATTTAATACTTTGATATTCAATTGGTATTTGTGATATCTAAGAAGCCCATTGGAACTCACCCATTTGCGGCTCCACCACTTCGTTGGCAAAAACGCCGAAGTCGACGATGGCAAGAAGACAGGGCCACCGCAAGCAGGAGAATCAAAAGAAAGCGCATATAACTTCTTTATAAAATGGCCCTTTGCAGCACGTTTTAAAAGTTTATTGGATGGCAATTATTTCAACCACTTTTGGTTACTATTTTCATGTTTTTTGTGTCTGTTAGCATCATCGTCATCACAAATAAGTTCTATTTTCAGCAGAGCTTCTTTTATTTGAAGCTTTGCCTTCAATCCGAAATATTCACGTCGTTTAATTCATTGTGAAGAGGAGTTTTATTTTGTTAATGCAACAATTGAAAACAAGAAATGAAAAAAAAGGTCAAGAATTCGATTTAATCTTTTAATGTCTTTTAATCAAATGTTCGATTAAAAGACAGTCTCTTCCAATGATTATAACCATTTGGAGTGACAATCACAACTAGCAGCACTCGCAACAATTGGTGCGTGAGCAATAGTCGGGTTTACACCAGCAGCAACCATAGCATCCTTGAGAACACGTGAAAAGGGTTCGATTCAGAATCGCTCTCGCACTGCCCGAACCAACATCACTCGAAACTAGGAAATGTTTTCGTATTTCTGTCATTTCTTGCACGCATCGGATTAAACCTTAAAAAGCTCTACCGACATTTGAATATTGAGAAAATTCGGATTCGGTAAGTCAAAGACAAAGGGCTTTCCTCCCGATCTTGTACATTTTTGACTTCCGACTTGGCAACACGATTGATCAATTGCGTTTACGGCAAGAAATACAAAATTTCGTTGAACTTACCAGCTTGAGGCTCCACCACTCCTTCCACCACTCCACCAAAGACACCGAAGTCGACGATGGCAAGAAGACAGACGAGGGCAAGGACAGCAAAGAACTTCATTGTTCTTTAGGGTTGATGAGTGTAATTCAAAAGGGAAGATTCGATTTTTATCTGAGCCCTAGAAAGAGTATTTATAATGAGCTCGGATGAGTGGATGCAATTACGCAATGGAACGCTTGCTTAAGATAACCAAACGGAAATCCTCTCAAAATAACTTTCGAAAAATGAAAAGTTTCAATGATTTCACTTCCTTTCCTCTAAGTTGCTCATCTTAACTGAGTCTTCACCTCAATGTTGCTTTTTCGACTTTCAAAAAGACAGAAAAGTACGTTTTAGAGCGAGCAAATACTGATAAGCGTTGACCAGCGGAAGTGCAAATCGGATCGGGCAAAAGATCGCTTTTTTTCGATCAAACCTTATCGATGCTTAGTCACAGAATCAATTAAATTTAAAAGTTGCTTTTGAAAGTTGAAAACGGAAATTTTAAGACAAAGATCTGATTGGAAAAAACAGTTTATAGAAGGAAGTGAAATCATTGGGGTTTCATGAAAGTTGCTATGGTTTCCGTTTAATTATCCTAACCGAAAGTTCCATTCTTTAATCACATCCGCTTACCCGGCCCATCCCAATATAAATAGACTAGGAAAACTCAGACAAACATCGAATCTCTCCTTCCCAACTAAAACTCAAGCAAACCGACAACAATGAAGTTCTTCGCTGTCATTGCCCTCGTCTGTCTTCTTGCCATCGTCGACTTCGGCGTCTTTGCCAATGAAGGAGTGGTGGAGCCTCAAGCGGGTAATTTCAATGAAATTTTGTACTTCTTCCCGTAAACTCAATTGATCAATCGGGTTGCCAAGGCGGAAGTCAAAAATGTACAAGATCGGGAGGAAAGCCCTTTGTCTTTGACTTACCGAATCTGAATTTTCCCAATATTCAAATCTTCTTTATAAAATGACCCTTTGCAGCACGTTTTAGAAGTTTTTCAAATCAGTAGAGCTTTTTAAGGTTTAATCCGATGAGTTCAAGAAATGACAGAAATACATTTTCTTTTCATTTTCATAGCATTTTCTAGTTTCGAGTGATGTTGGTTCGGGGAGTGCGAGAGCGGTTCTCAATCGAACCCTTTTCACGTGTTCTCAAGGATGCTATGGTTGCTGCTGGTGTAAACCCGACTATTGCTCACGCACCAATTGTTGCGAGTGCTGCTAGTTGTAACTGTCACTCCAAATGGTTATAATCATTGGAAGAGACTGTCTTTTAATCGAACATTTGATGGAAAATTCTTGACCTTTTTTTTCATTTCTTGTTTTCAATTGTTTCATTAACAAAATAAAACTCCTCTTCACAATGACTTAAACGACGTGAATATTTCGGATTGAAGGCAAAACTTCAAATAAAAGAAGCTGTGCTGAAAATAGAACTTATTTATGATGACGATGATGCTAACAGACACAAAAAACATGAAAATAGTAGCCAAAAGTGGTTGAAATAATTGTCATCCAATAG